GCGCCTACCTCCCGGCAAACTGACAATGTAATAACAAAATCATCAAAAGAAAGCTCCGTTCAAGCCTTTGCGAGGGTCCAAAAGGCCTGCGCTATGAGCTGTTGCTTGCATCCTTTCAGTGCTTGGAAGGCTGTTCTGTGACTCAGGTATTGTCAGCTCACCATACGGGACCATGACTGACAGAGGTATCCCAAACCCTAAACCCTAAACCCTAAACTCTGCACCCTAAGCCCTAAACCCTAAACCCTTTCTCAAGGGGGAGTATGGATGGACACTGTGTTCCACAATCGCAATCTGCCAGGATCCCTCATTCAACTTGCGTCCTTGGGAATCAGGCTCCCCAAGCCCTAAACCCCAAACCCTAAACCCCAAACCCTAAACCCCAAGCCCTAAACCCCAAACCCCAAACCCCAAACCCTAAACCCTAAACCCTAAACCCTAAACCCCAAACCCCAAACCCCAAACCCCAAACCCCAAACCCTAAACCCTAAACCCGAAACCCTACCCCCTTCTTTCTGATGAGGTGATGGGAAAGCTTGGCGGTGCCGCCATGCGCCGCACGGGCTGGGAGGCGAGCTTAGGGTTTAGGGTTTAGGGTTTAGGGTTTAGGGATTAGGGTTGAGGGTTTAGGGTTTAGGGTTGAGGGTTGAGGGTTTAGGGTTTAGGCCCCCACAATGCCCCAAGAACCCCGAGATGCCCGAACGCTACTTGGGCGGTTCATGGGCAGTTCGAAGGAGGGCTAAACCCTGAACCCTGAACCCTACGCCCTAAACCCTAAACTAAACCCTAAACTAAACCCTAAACTAAACCTTAAACTAAACCCTAAACCCTGAGACTCCAATAGCCCCTCAGCCCTAAACTCTAAACCCATCTAAGCCCTCAAGGCTAATTGAGTCTCGGACAAGAGAATCAAGGAACGTCCGGCCGGCTCCCGGAAGCATCGATTTCAATCCTGGGCTCTGTAGTACTAATCAATGAAATCCCGCCAGCTCCTAGAAGCATCGATTCCAGCACTGGGTTTCTGGTTTAGGGTTTAGGGCCGTTTAGGGTTTAGGGTTTAGGGTTTTGGGTTTTGGGTTTTGGGTTTTGGGTTTAGGGCCGTTTAGGGTTTAGGGTTTAGGGCCGTTTAGGGTTTAGGGTTTAGGGTTTAGGGATAGGCGTGAGTGCTGACCAACCCCTGTAGTATGCTTCCGCATAACCGATAGGGGCCGACCCTATTTCACTCAATACTTCGGATACGCAAGGGGTTTTGAACGCTACTCAATCAGGGAGTATTCCGTAAATGGTGTCCTATTTTTGGATTCCAGGAGTCCTTAAAACGAGGCGATACCGGACCGTCGCAAAGCTGCTGCGCTTCTCTTCTTTAAGTTAGGGTTTAGGGCTCAAGGCCCCTGCAGCATAAGCCCTAAGCTTGGGCCGTGCCCTCAACCTTAGGCCCTGGTGGCTGGGCAAAAGCATCAAGGATTTTCCCCAGCTGTGGCGTTCCAGTCTGGGGCGTACGCGTCGTTGATCGGTCACAGGCTGTCTGAGGTACTCTTTTTTTTTTTTCGGGTGTATAGGCTTTGGGGTTGAGGGTTTAGGTGCTGTTGCTGAGTTCTGCACCAAAAGCGATCGAGTCGACGTCGAGTGCCCTTTGGAAGACTCGAGTGATCCAGATCGAGGGTGCCCGCCAAGAGGCTTATGGGCAGTGGCAGGAAGTTTTCCGAACAACTCGTCGATGCCAATCCTTACAGCCTTACCGTTGGGTTGCCCAACACGAGACCATAACTCCGAGAACTCACCATACATGCAAAGTAAGTGTTTTCTCCTGCTACAGCTGTAGCTGCCGTATTGAAATCCTACAGGCCCAGCCTAACTGCCCACGAGCCTAGGGTCTGCAAGCCGCGTATCTAAAGCCCCAAGCCCGAAACCCGAAAGCCATAAACCCTCGACCGTGAAAACCCCAAATGAAGCCCCTAAACCCTAACCCCCCCTACCCTAAACCCTAAAAACCCCTAAACCCTGAACCTCCTAAACCCTAAACCCCCTGAACCCCTACAAGCCGCAAATTCCCCGACAAGCCGAGAGGTCAATCTCACCCGCTACGATACGGAAGCCCGCCCCTCGGCTGGTGCAGTCCTCGCCCGGTTTAGGGTTTAGGGTTTAGGGTTTAGGGTTTAGGGTTTAGGGTGATTTCCCTCTGCAGAGAATCGCTCTTGTGCAGCTAATCCCAGCTTCCTACTTTGTGCTCAGAAAACCCTAAACCTTGCGGGATGTTGGACCCTTTCTGTAGTAATCCTTATGAACTCCCTCTTTCTGGCTACTCCGTGGCCCCAAAGCTGAACCACCCTAACCGCCTAAGCCGTAAAACCAAAAAGCCCCGGCCTTCCTCATGCGGAGGTCTTCGCCGTGGTCTGCGGCGGTGTTGCAGTGGTGGGACTCCCGCGCAAGCCCTAAGACGTTCGCCTGGTTTGGGGTGTGGGGTTTGAGCTTTTCTGGGCTGTTATGATGGTCCTTCTTTGGGACTCTGTTATCACACTTTACTGCTCCTTATATATGCAGGGCCCTAACCCCTCACAAAAGGCACAAATTCTTTTAACGACTGGTGGGTGGGATCTTGGAGGACCACCTTTTTGGGGAGGTTTAGGGGCATTTTTGCAGCGGACGGGTGGAGCGCTGTTGCTGAACTCATACATGTGCGTAGAACCACCCCAAACCCTAAGCCCTAAGCCCTAAGCCTAAACCCCAAACCCTAGACCCCAAACCCCAAACCCTAAACCCCAAACCCTAAACCCTAAACCCTAGACCGTAAGGCTGATTGGAATGCTTTGGACGTTCCGAGGCTCTTCGCGGAGTGGCGGGGTGCTGCTTGCGGGTTTGGGAGCCCAGGGGCTTCCACGGGGTTTAGGGTTTAGGGTTCAGGGTTTAGGGTTTAGGGCTTACGGTTTAGGGTTTAGGGTTTATAAGGTTTAGGGCTTCAGGGTTTAGGATTTAGGGCTTAGGGTTTAGGGCTTAGGATTTAGGGCTTGGCTTAGGGTTTAGGGTTTATAGGGTTTGTAGTTTTTAGGGGTGACCCCATACCTTATCTAGGACAGGCGTAGGTGGGCCCCGTATAAGCGGCGCATATGTATATATAATATATATATACATACACACACACACACATATATGTATACATATGCAGCTCAATTTTGATGTTGACAAGACGCTTGTGAAGCAGCAGCTACCCACCCCTTCAGTTCGGGCCTCCAAGCAGTGTCTGGGGTTAAGCATTCAACGGGTGGCGCGGGTATGTGACTGCCACACTCCAGCATTTCAGGACCTGGGTTAGGGAGGGTTTAGGGTTTAGGGTTTAGGGTTTAGGGTTTAGGGTTTCGGGTTTAGGGTTTAGGGTTTAGGGTTTAGGGTTTAGGGTTTAGGGCTATGCAGCTGTCTCTCAAAATCTCTCAACGAAGCCGAGGCCCAAGGTTTGGTGACCCCAAGGCCCCCTTGACATCACGACTCACTGCAAAAGAAGTGCAGCCCCAAACCCTGAACCCAAAACCCTAAAAACCCTAAAAACCCTAACCCCTGAACCCTGAACCCTAAACCCTAAACCCTGAACCCTGAACCCTGAACCCGGAGCCCTGAATGAACCGAACCCTAAACCCTAAACTCGAAGCCAAACCCAGGCTAAGTGACAGAGCGGAGCGCTTCTTCGTGCTTCCCCGGGAGGCCTCAGTGGTGTTTCTCATGGGCTAAGGGTTTAGCGGCTAGGTTGCTTAAGTTTCCACATCCTCGCCAAAGTGCATCGTTCTCTTAGGGTCGATCCCCTTTCAAACACTGGGGGGTGGTTCCGCTTGTCAGCAAGGCTGGAATCCCTATAACCAGGCCAAACTCTTCACTTGCTTCACCAGACCAGCGGACAGCACGGACCCAGGTAATTAACGAACTGTAAACTAGCAATGAGGCGCTAAAAGGTTTTATTTCCGAAGCTCTAGTTCTCACGGTGTCGGGGTTGTTAGGATTGCTTAATGAAGCCTCAAAAATCATCTTGGAAAACAGCCTACGTACAACTATAGCGCTTTTTTTGCAAGCTTCCTTTCGATAATCTCTAGGCTAGGGCCCTCACGGCCCTTTCGTGAGGCCGGCAGTACAAACGATAGGACCTACAGGAATGCCTTACTTCGGCATACGTCTTAAAGCTGTTTGGGCCTCAAGCCCCGTCCTGCCCTGTGTATGTAGAAGCTTTATGCTCCCGTTAAACATGTTGAAAAGGGCTTCCTTTGAAACAGGCATTTATGTCTTTTCAATTTCAAATCGGCCTCGAGATGTTGCAGACGGATGTCACGTACATGGCGAACAGCAGAGATGCGATGCACGAAACGAGATCCGAAGTGAGGGGTCTTATCCGTCTCTCTCCCCCTCTCTG